GGTACTTTGTTCTCACCGATGGAATACGGAGGTGTTGTGGATGGTTTGATACAATGTAAGTGGCATGGCGTATCCTAGCCGTGAAGGTTTGGACTATGAGAACCCGGGAATGTAGTTCGTCTGCGCACTGGGCAGACACATAATGTTCTTTTTTTTAACAATACAAACTGTACAAGGTTTGAAGCCAATTCTAGACAGAGGGTTAAGTGTATAGATGAATAGGTAGTGATCGGGGAAGCAACTCCTTGGGAGTCATTTTCCTCAATATAATGGTTCGTATTAAGAAGTTCTTTTTTGTTTTTTGTTTTTTTGCAAAGAAAAATACAGAATTTTGTGTCAATGTACAAATTATTTTTCGTTATGCTTGATATATCAGCAAAACGTTTTCTTTTCTTTGGTTTGATCACTAAACACAATTTTCTTTTGTTTTCCAGGTGCCATTTTATATCCGGTGATGTGCGTCGTAACTAAGAAGAAACGAGAGTTACGACGCCTACAATACTATTTCTTGAAAAAGCATATTCACTTCAAGTTCTTCCGTATCCGATTTCATTACCTCGAATCAAGCAGTGTGTGAACAACGGTCCAAGCGAAATATTTGGTTCCATCGGCGACAGAGTTAGCAAAAAATAAAGAAAGAAAGAAAATAAATAAGTTAAAAATAAAACCAACAAGGAAAAAACAATGCAGTAAATAAATGAAAACAAAAAAAAAACAACATTCAAAATTAGAAACAGCTTATTTTTATCATATATTTTTATACTTTCCACATTAAGTTTTATGTAACAGTCCAAAAAATATATATGTATATAAATATATATATATATATGCATATACATATATAAACGTCCTCTTGATGTCATGAAGGAATGGTTAGTAACATAAACACAGAAATCATACATGTCTACTATTTAAGATTCTGGTTGAGAAAGAAAAAAGTTGCAGTAAAGCAAAATAAATACCTATTCTTTAAATACTAAATTTATAAAAGCTAATTAAAACAGCTCAAGAGCGTACTTTCTTGCATTAATATTATTTCAAATGTAATCCTCAAGTATATTATTTTTTAAAATTCCGTCAGCCACAATATAATCCATTCAAGAAAGAAGCGAATAAACAAAACCTCATATGTAAATGAAATCCTTAAATTGAACGGTACTAGATAAAAATATTAAATTATTAGCAGACATGTGACCTGTTTAAAAAAATAAATAGTTGTATGAGGATGCAAACATCCATGACTTGAAAAGTCTGAAACAAGGATTAATTAATGTCTCTTCAGAGCGACATCGTCTTTGAAATAATCTATAATCAGACCATCTTATAAATTACTTTTAATACAACAGCCATTTTTGCTAATTCATTGAAAACTATATTTATTTCTGGGTTCCAGGATCAGTTTATTAACATTATTTCGGGCAGGTTTTGTGCCCATCTCTGTAAATGCAGAGACAAGCCGAAAGATCTGAACAGCGGATGTTTCGTTACAGGTTTTCATATACAGACACAATCTTGTTCCACTCTCAAAGACTCGGTAAACCTCGCAATCTTGCCAAAAGTATCTAAAAAAAAAAAAATACCGTAAAACAAATTAACATCTAAGTACGACAACAAAGGCGAAGAAAAATGACTTTCGCCTATCTTCATCTGGTCAAAAAAATAAAAACGATATCGCGTTAAACCTGAGAAGATAAAAAAAGCGCTCTTTTTTTTTCCAGGCGACGGAGTTACCAACCAAAGCACTCCAGAAATAAGGAAATTCGCAGGAAAATGAAGTAGAATGAATTCAGAATATTTCGGTGCATCGGATCCATGAAATTGAAGAATCAGTCATATTACTATGTTGTTTTTTTTTTTCAGATAAAGTCCAGCATTAAAGGAACCTCTATACACACCTAACATATATATATATATACATATACATATATATATATATATATATATATACATAAATATATATATATATATATATATATAGATAGATATAGATATAGATATATAGATATATAATAGAGTTTTTGTGCTTCTGTTAATTTGTTTAAAAAAAAAAGTTTTATTAGAGCATTTTTTGTTTTATTGTTCATATATAAAACATTTAGTTAATGTTAGTGAGACGAAATCAAATAGCTTTGAATCAAACATTACCATCATTGTTTAAATTCCTTATTAGCCTAATAGACGCGCCAACTTAAAATAGAGACGAAGAAAAACTTGTAAAATTCTGAATTTTGTAATTGTAAGAGTAAATCACACGACAAAAGTAACTGCAATTTCTTTGCAAGCAGAAGTAAAATTTTACAATTCTTTATTGAAGTCGATAACTGAACGCCGCATTTCAAAATGAACCTATTTTATGTCGTCAAATATAATTAGACAAAAATTACCTATAGATAGTTGTACATTTGTACACATTTAGGCAAGCAAGCGCCTATAGACATACACACACGCGTGTGCGCGCACACACACACGCACATACACAGACACACACATATATATAGATATAGATATAGATATAGATATAAAAAAATATTTTTGACGATCGGGTGTATAATTTTTTTTTTCTCTTAAATCAACGTCAAGACTATTATTTTTTTGTATCATTCGTGAAAAGAAATTAATTGCTTCGAAACTCTATTCCCCGCAATATACATGCCTTAAACACAGTCTTAATAATCTATGCGTTTCGAAAGTATGCTATCCAATAATAGACCATAAATTCTGCTTTTAAAAGAAAAAAATATGAGCTCCACTGAGCATGCGTGAAGTCAGATTTTCGATTACAACTGAATTATAAAAAAAATAAAAACGTCCAATTTTCACCTCCGATATAAACAGTTGAATTTTTCTCAACTTGTTTTAAAAAAATCATAATACTGATGCGGGAAATATAGTTGTAATAAATATTGTCATAATAACAATTACACAAAAAGCAAATAATGGCGGATTTGAACGAGGGAAAATAATTATGGCGTATGTGCCAACGTTGACAAAGCCATTTTGTTCGGGAAGGTACCGGTTAAGGTGACGTCTGGTCACTTTGCTTGTTTTTCAGAAACATTGAATTGTAATGTTTTTTTTTTTTATTATTTTTGTATTTTTTAATCTGTTAAATTTGATTTGTTTATTGTTGAAGACTCCTATATTTGTTTTTCAGTGATATTTTTTTAATGAAATTCCAGACTTTATACAAACGGAAACAGAAATTTAAATAATCTATAATCGTTATTTTGAAGGAAAAAGATTTTCAAAAACTGTTTATTTTAAATCTCAAATTTATAATCTGGTGTCAATAATTATGTACAAACCATTGTTATATTATTATATTCAACTTAATTAAGAAATTATTTTAGATGTAGAAAATACATGTATATTCAAATTTGTATGTAAAACTACTGTTTGGAATTTGAAAGAAAATATCCAAAGAATTTTGTTAAAACAAAAGAAAGAAGAAGGAAAAATATGATTTCATTTGAATGATTTATGGAAGTAAAACGGAATAAAATAAATCAAGGATTGTTCCAGAAAATGCTGCTGCTAAAATAAAATTAAAAACATTACGTCGAAAATAAAGGGAAAAAAATGATCGTCAAAAAAAAATTCTTTTCAGAGCACAAAGAAAATACAAAAAACGGAGCAATGGCGTTTGTTGTCCACTGATACTTGATATTTAACAAGTTTGGGAAGATCTCGAGATATCACGCAAAATCACGGACATTATCCAAGCAACAAAAATATGCTTAAATATACATTACACAAAGGATATACAAACATTCGTTCTCTTTCAGTTCGGTGAACATATATATAAACATGCAGCTCAAATATACAACCGAGATTTGACATCTCTTTAAAATATATATTGTTGAAAAGAACGCATATTGTTGACAATATTATTTTAAAAAAAGTATCAAAAAATATTTTCTAAAAGAAATATAAATCTGAATAAAAATTTTGAATAATACAAATCAAGAAGTTCGAATTTAAAAAAGAAAAGAATATCTGTAAATAATTTTGGAAAAAAATTAAAAAAATAAAAGAAAGAGAAGTAAAAACTGAACGAATTGGTCATCCATTTTTAACTAATTACAAGCGTTAAAAAAACTATACCGATATCCATTTTTTTATCTTACTGAAGAAACTGTCTGGCATTTATAAAAAAAAATTCCAGATATTCTTTGCTACACAGATATATAAAGACAGTTCGATATAACTTATCAGGAAATACATCAGTACAAACAAAAGACTGAAATAAAATACCGCTTGCATTGAATTGCCTCGAGCAAAAAGTGTATTTGATTGAATTGACAAATATATCAGTATACGCATAAAAAAGAGCTAACATAAATATATTTACATACATCAATATAGATATTTCGCAATAAATTTGATAGTCGAAAGTAAAAATAATTGTATATGATATACTTCTGCCTTTTAAATCATGAATAATTAGAAGTAAACCTCCACGAAAAAAATGCTTATTTAATCACTTTCAAATTAGCTGACATCAATTACGCAAAATGTACATAGATATTAATACAAGTAAGTCGTAAACATACACATTTTGTGACTTTCTAAGCGTAGCTTAGAATCAGCACAAGGCCGAAAGTGGAGAGCACCCAGTGAGGATTGAACTGACTGCTCGGTCATCATTGGCTTGCTAGTCATTACACCACGTCAAGGTGTTCAAATATATACACCTATATATACATACAAAATAGAATTATGCAGTCGAAAAAAATGGTTTTAAATTAACTGAATTTCAAACAAATTAATATCTGAAAAAAATAAACATTTGCTCGGAGACAAATTGAGAAAAAAAAAAACGAAAAAACTCTCCCACAATAAAAAAACAAACAAAAAAAACAGACACAGTTTTTTTAAAAATAAATCTTTAATAATATATATACTTATATATACATACATATATATGCATATATATTTTCTATACAGATATATAAAGCACGACGATGTCGTTTCAAATATCTCAAGATAAAAGTAACCGA